TCGGGATAAACAGTAGCCATGCTTTAGATTGCTCTGCGGGTTATTCCAGGTTGCCGATGCACCGAGAGTAACGTACGACTTTGTGAGCTCAGTAACCTGCAGAGTAATCCAATCATTTGAGCTCCAATGGTACGGCCCTGCAATAAAAGACTGCAATGAAGCCAACATGCTCTACAGAGAGGAGGGCCACCCATCCTCAGTGTACGGCTCACAGTGAAGGCTGTTTTTTTATTTTTTTATTATCACCAGTCATAGATCTTGGTGCAGCACAAAATGAATTTTTATGGAGTAATTTATTAAAGTGGCCTTTTAAATTCTGATCTTTGGAGATAGCTTGTCTGAATGCTTCATCATTGTTTGAATTTTTACATTTTTATGAACATTTGAGGTTAAAGATGTGGTGGTTTCAGCAGAACTGTTTCTTCTGAATGTTTTTTTTTTTTAAACTAAATATCGGTTTTTATGATTACTCAAACTGCAAATATTACAATTGTTGTAAAACACTCATGATAGTTAGAATTTGGGTTTGTTTAGGAAGAAAATCCATCCATCCATTATCTATACACCGCTTAATCCTCACTAAGGTCATGGGGGGCTGGAGTCTATCCCAGCTGACTCAGGGTGAAGGCAGGGGACACCCTGGACAGGTCACCAGTCTATCACAGGGCTACACTTAGAGACAGACAACCAAGCACACTCACATTCACACGCAGAAAGATTCCGGTGCCCCCACCGGGACGTGAACCGGCGACCTTCTTGCTGGCGAGGCAACAGTGCTAACCAACTGCACCACCTTGCAGCCCAGCAAGAAAATCAAGGCGCTTTAAAGCCAATTCATTATTTCTGCATGTGCATATTCACAAGGGTATGGAGGACATAAATGTCATCATTTGCTGAAAAAGTCCGCATGCAGCCAGAAATCTGTGACCGCGTTGACTTCAGAATGTGACAGGAAACAAATAGTCCTCGCAGGGCAAAAAGCTGCAGTCCGTCCAAAGTCAACTATGAAATTAATAAAGCTGAATTAGTGGGGAAAAAATAAATAAAAATCAGTCACTTCCTCAAAGCAAAGACAGTATGGCGCATTAAAAATGTGGCTTTATTACTCAGAGCTGTCACGACCCAATTCCTTAATGAGCATCAGTTAGACTCATTTAAAGTTTTTGGACGTCAGACTGTTGGGCTGTTGTGAGGCCGTTTAATCGACTCTAAGCGACAGCAGTCACTCCTCCTGTCTGCAGACGTGCTGACCTCAGCTCTTTAGGTGAAGGTAACATCACACACGAAGAACATCAATGAGCTCATATTGACCAGATACACCTCCAGCTGCGCTGCTCCACCTGCTGATGGATGAGCTAATGAGAGCCGCCATTAGCTGCGGACACAGCAGGCCATGCCCACCCTGGGTGTAACATGCATGATTTATCACAGCATAACCTCCCATCATGCTGTGTTTCTGTGTGTGTGTGTGTGTGTGTGTGTGTGTGTTTCCAGGTCTGGTAATCCTCTGGCGAAGCTTCACGGCTCCTCCATCTTGGAAAGACACCATCTGGAGTTTGGCAAGACTTTGCTGAGAGATGAGGTATGCTGCAGTACACACACACATGCATAGAGGGTAGGACACGCATGAAGACCTGCACGGTACACAGCAATTCAATACCACAAGTAAATAAGTGATACTCGATTATCTTCTCATCATTAGTCAGCATACTCTGTTACTGTTTATATCAGCTTGCAGGAGCTGAAGTTGTTGGATGTTGAAGAGTCCTGGTCTGATCTGTGTTTAAATGCTGACATCTTACCGCCCAGCATAGTTTTCAATACGCAGACAGAAAACTGAATTATATTTTTGTGTTCTGTATTTAGCTTTTCCACTTGATCAAATTTGTCGCACATCATTTCTGCTTCACATCAAAGGAGACCTGTTCGAGTTCCTCTTGCTCTGCATAAGCGGCATAAAGATAAGAATGGCCTGGTTTAGTGGTCCAGGCTCAAACATAACGACCTTTTTTGATGTCAGAGCCTCTTGCCGTTCACACGCCCTCCCGTGCTTTCTTCAGCCACTTGTCATCGTTTGAATTAACTTTTCGTCTTTCTCTTGTTCTCCAGTCATTGAATATTTATCAGAATCTGAACCGCCGTCAGCACGACCTGGTCATCCACCTCATGGACATCGCCATCATTGCCACTGATCTCGCTCTCTACTTCAAGTCAGTACAACAGCATGTTTCCAGAATAATCTATTTATTCTGCAATCTTCAGAGCATCCATGTATCATCTCCATGCTGCAAAGCTATCGACAGCAACATTTAAAAACAGATTTATGAGCTCACCCATTCAGGCAATGAGAAAATAAATGTAATAATGCCTGTCACGCTTAATAACCATTTCTTTTTAAATCCAATTTTAGTATAATTTATCTATTAATTTTATAATTTTCTAGATTTTATTCTTAATGACAAATGATGTGAGTAAATATACAGAAAAAGCAGCTCGTGTAATATGCAGTGGAACCCAAAGAAATCCATACTGATGCCAAATTTAGATTTATAGCAAATTTTCGTAGATCCATCCATTATCTACACACCGCTTAATCCTCACTAGGGTCATGGGGGGCTGGAGTCCATCCCAGCTGACTCAGGGTGAAGGCAGGGGACACCCTGGACAGGTCACCAGTCTATCACAGGGCTACACTTAGAGACAGACAACCAAACACACTCACATTCACACCTACAGACAATTTAGAATCACCAATTAACCTCAACATGTTTCTGGACTGTGGGAGGAAGCCGGAGAACCCGGAGAGAACCCACGCTGCACGGGGAGAACATGGAGACTCCACGCAGAAAGATCCCGGGTGTCCTCACCGGGACGCGAATTGGCAACCTTCTTGCTGCGAGGCAACGATGCTAACCACCGAGCCCACCCTGCAGCCCCAAATTTTCATAGATTATTAGCTTTATTCTGGCTGGATATTACATGAAAAGTGGCCAAAGAGAGTAAAACATTGTGTTAGAGATGTCAGGGGTACATTTCAGCTGTTCCTTTTATTACTAGTATTACTAAAAATGCAATGTTTAGAATATAACAACCCTTGAAATTGCTACAAATTGTTGAGAAAATGCAACTTTTACACAGTTTTTAATGATCCTGGTCATTTCTGCTCTGCCCTAAAATATTCTAATACACAATAAACTGAGAACAGCTGATGCAGGAGTTCTCTAGTCAGTTTCAAGTCATGGCTAAAACCAAAAAGCCAGGTGAACTTGCCATGGGGGGAATCACAGAGCGCTGCACAGCGGCTACTCACAAGATGGAAAAAAAATAAGCTCAAAGCCTCCAAGTGTTCTTAAGTTCCAGTGGCCACAGTATAAAGCAGAATCAGAAAGCACAGAGAGTTCCACACTGTGTCACCGAGTGTTGTAGGAAGTGACTGTGAGCTTTTCTGGTAGCAGCATCTCTGTGGACTCTGACCCAGGAGCACTTCTCAAGACAGAAGTACAAGATGCTAACCTGGACAAAGAATAAAGCTTCTGGTCATCAGTTGTGTGAAAGTGGAGTTGTTCAGACACAGTTACAAAAGAAACGAGAAGCATTGAGCCCCAAGAACACTGTTCCTGGCAATGCAAGGTCTTATCAAAGGTAAAAGCATCACAAGAAAAGAAAACTACGTCAGATATCTGGAGAACTTGGCCACGGGCAGCACTGGACACACGATGTGGTCAAAAAATGGTTCATAGAAAACAGTATGTTGGAACAGCTCCACCAGAGTCCAGATCTGAATCCCATTAAGAATAAAAGACCCAGAGATTGTCACAAAAGAGAAGTGGTCCAAAATCCCAGATGTAGAAAGCTCTTTAGCAGTTATAGGAGTCATTTGATGTGGTGACAAAAAGGGCTTTGATAACTGAGAAAGAGTAGAGCTCTAGAGCCCCCCAGAAAAAGAGCAAAACTCACAAACATTGACCATTAACCTCTCTAACACAATGTCAACATTTTTGCATGGGTATGACTCATTCTAAACCCTCCTGTCTTTTGCCATCCCCACAATCAGCCACTCTAGAGACAATAATGGAGCACTGTTCTGTTTATGTGCAGAAAGAGGACGATGTTCCAGAAGATCGTGGATCAATCGAAGACCTACGAGAACTGGAATGATTGGACCAAGTACATGATGCTGGAGACCACACGCAAAGAGATCGTCATGTAGGCAGAAGCACACACACACGACGGCAGCCTTTAACTGGGACGCACAGATGCAGATCTCATCTCTGTCGTGTTGTTTCCAGGGCCATGATGATGACTGCCTGTGACTTGTCTGCCATCGCCAAGCCGTGGGAGGTCCAGAGCAAGGTACGCCCCCCGCCCGCTCTCTACGCAAGGTCCTTTTCATACTTCACAGCAATAGCTGGAAGATGGCACTCCAGCCTCTCTAACATCCAGCCGCTCGCAGTAATAAGACACACACTTGTACACGAGCGCCAGGAGAGGCTCTGCGAGAGGAGAACCAGTGATAAAGTAGGCAGAGAATGACATTTTGTCAGCACTGCCATTTTTCTCAGCAGCGTTCGGCAGTGGCTCCTGACGGCCTCATGCATCAAAAGCAACCTGCTGCTTTTCATTCCCCTCATCACCGCTTGGCAGGCTCAGCATTTTATTTCACTGAAGTATGTAATATACACATCGCCATCAAGTCTGAACACACAGGCATATCAACAGGAACAGCAAGCATCCCTGGCGGTGCTCGGGGGTTATTTTTTTTTACCTTTATTTGTCTACAGTCGTCTGGGAACATGAGATTGTTTTCAGTGTCATCTGCTTTATATCCACATACACATAAGCTGTAGACTAATAGCAACTTCATCAGCATTGTACCAAACAATAAAGCCAAGAGGAACCAGGAGGTAATACGGACAAACAACAGGTGGAAAAGTCTGCTTTCAAAATCCTGTTTGTTTTGCCAGACTTTGCTCCGGTTAATTTACCATACAAGTGAGTTGTGTGGGTTACAAATTTGTCGAATGAGATAACCCAAAAATCACCTTCTTGGTTGAAGTCCTGCACCTCCTCTTAGTCAGCCTGTAATGAGGCGTCACAAGCAGACATAGATTCCTTTTGCAGGGCCACAAGCCAAACAAGTTAAATTATTGATCTAGAAAATGAGGAGGAGCACTGTGCTGATACGGTATGCATCACTGAAAAAGGTATTTGGAATATTTTTTTCTTAATCTGTCACACTCCTTTTTAGCAGCAAGCATAAAAATATACTAAAAGCACCTCATTGCTGAGCGGAGATTTATTTTAAACACTGTGGGGGACACATTAAGTGGGGGGACTGGAGGTCCACAGTTGGGAAATCTTGAGCATCAAACACTTCAAAACCTCCATTCTGATGCATTTCTATGCACGGTTTATTTATTTATTTTTCATATTTTGCATCAATTAATGGTGGAAAATGTGTTGAATGATATAAAGGAAATACATAAAAAATTCCAGCAAAATTATGAACAGAATGGAAGATAATGTAGTAAAGCTTTCAGGCATTCTGTATTACCTTCAAATCTTTACTCTCTTGTCGATCAGTTTGTCTAGTTTAAATATTATCCTGGCTCAGAAGACACGTATTTTAAATAAATGCATATTGAGGGGGATGTGTCCCCAGCATCCCACCTGAAATCTAGGCATCACAGGTCACATGGATTATTACGTACAACAATGCTATCAAACTGATTCCAACCATGTAGACTACTCCCAAATTTGTCTTTCTATTAATTTGTGTGCATCCCCTGCCACACTTGAGTGAAAATGTAATGTCTGCATACTGTAAGTGTGTGCACATTGCCTCTGGGATGGTTTGATTTTAACGATTGTCCACCCCACATGACTTGCTAAGTGTTGACTGAGGACAACAGGATCCCCCTCCTGGAGTATAATGCTCATCCTGTTGTGTTTGTACACTTAGAATTTTTAATTTGAACATATTTTCTGTCCACTAAAACAAGAGATATGTAATGTTTACCAACATTACAACATACATTGGAATCAACAAAACTGAATGTGTAAAAAGAGGTTGTTTCTCAGTTATAGTTAAGTCTCAGTGAAGAAGGCATAAAGCTGTTACATCTCAAAACTTCACCAACTTTGTGATGGAGTATGATGATTAAAAAAGCTGATTCATTTCATTATTTTTGAGTTTGGGCTCAGATCATAGACTGTATAAAAGATGGACGTAGCAACTGGCCCTGAAAAATGAAGCCAACCCGGAAGTGTCAAAAACTTACATCACTACATCCACTAGCTGCTGGCTCCAAAAAGCCCTGACTCCCATAGACTTAAATTGGAAAAGAAGTGACCACAGATCACAAAATACTGCATTCCTACAGTTCAGGATTTTTTTCTTATTAGTTTTCATGGTCAAATCCAGAGATCAGGTGGCCAATCTGAAAATAAATCAATACTAATACTACGCAGAAGGCGGTAAATGTGGGCGGGCAGAGAGGGCCCGCCTCTCAATCCGTCTGACCAATCGCTGCTCCTATGGCTCCGCCCCCCTCCGACGATTTTTGCCTCACTGGCTCCAAAAATCCAAGATGTCAACCAGGAAGTAGCAAAACCCTGGCTTCATTTTGTCAGTGCAGAAACGAACGGGTGACGTCACGGTAGCTACGTCCATCTTTTATGCAGTCTATGGCTCAGATGCACGTTCGTGTACTTTCAAAAGTAGTCTTTAGATGACATATGCCCAGGGAGGTTGTGGGTCCAGCAGTGCTAGTTGGTCATAGCTGTTAAAGACCTTCTCTGGTGAAGATCAAGTTATTTACCTCAATATTTAAAATGTCCATATGTTGTTTTTTATATGGTGGAAGACACACCATGATTGAGATGAATGGTCAACATCATGGCCGAGAATGACACATGTTTAGACGTCCAGAATTTTATACATGACAAAGCGAAGGAACCCATCAACTTGCAGGGTGGAGCTTTGTGTGTCCTTCATTCTTCTTCCTTAAATGCCTTCCAGGTGGTTTTTACGGTGTTTCAGCAGATTCATAGGTGAGCTGGTGTGCTACAGTTGCACTGACTGGGGAGGGTTGCATGGAGATGGTGGAGAGTTTGTAGATCTGCAAATTAAGCACCAGTGTGGAGTAACATCTAACATATTTAAGGCAGGAAGTGATTTTTTAAAAATACACAGATGAGGTTTTTGAGGATTAATCAATGACTGGACGGAGACTTAAAACCTCTTAAAGTGGAGGTTGGTGTAAAAATATTGATTGGTGACTCAAACGTTGAATGATGCATCCTTTTTATGGCGTTCATTTTTTTTGTTGTTGTTGCATAATAAATCAGTTCAGTGATTTTTCAGATTTTTCCGCCCATAGCCGTTCCCTCACAAGCTTCCTTTACCTCGAGGCTGCCGTTTGTTCATTTATTACAGCTGTATGTCAGAGGTTGGTGACGTTAGACTGTAATTCATCTGCTCACTCTCCACTGCTTTGTGAGAAAATATGCAAACTGATATAAATCAGAACTTCTCATATTGAATTTTAAATTACTGCCACGCCAAGTGATATTATTACAAACTCCAGCAGATTAATTGCTAGTAAAACAAGTTTTAACATGACTTGAGAGCAGTTCTTCTTCTCCTCCTCCTACATGACACAACTACTGCCAATTAGGATATCCCACTTTTATGTTTTTTGGCAGATATGTTTTTTTTTTTTTTCTGGTTTGATTTCACCTCTGTTTGCACCCGGTGAGTCAGCTCCACATCCCACACACGCTGTCAGGTTATCTATCTCCAGCATCTGCTACCCTCCTGTGTATTGTTTTCCAAAATAGTTTGGTGACTAACTCTTCCCCTCGAAGGTGAACTCCACCCTGTATCTAGTGGTTACGTACTGAAGCTGTCTTATGAAAACCTCTAAACTCCACTTTTGGTGATGATAACTTGCAGAGATGTGCAGATATGTAATAAAACAACTTTATTTAACTTTGTTAGCATGAAACGAGTGTCTAATATAGCTCTGCTTTGTGATTTAAGTTGATAAGACTGTCACTTTTTGACATAAAAATCTTCTCAAGCAGAGATAAACTCACTCAGATTTTTATTGATGATAGACAGCCCTCTCTAAGACGTTACGGAGAGACAAAAGCTGTATCTGCTCCATTCTTTTTTACGATATTCCGCTGACACTTTTATGGCTGATATTTTATACTTTTCGCTCAGTTCTGCTTCCCACGCACACAGAATATCTGTCTACAGGCAACACCAGCCTCATGGCAATTGTTCCCCCAAAAACGGCTTGATGACTAAGTCTTTCTAAAATGAGGTTTCTATCCTGAATGCAGAATTTACATATTATTCATCAGATCTCACATTGCTCCATTTTTGGGTTTGTGAGGGGAGCCAAAACAGGCTTTCATCTCATCAGGACACAAAGCCTGACACGGACCCGTGATCAGTGAATACCATTCTCTTTCATTGTGAGGGCTTTACGAGATGATTTTAACAACATGTATGGGAGGATTTCCTGCTTTGTAAAATACTACTTAAATCAGCACCATGGAAATGATGCTCCAGCAGTGGTGTTGTGACTGCCAATGTCTTGAAGGGGAATTCTCCCTCCCCGGGACGATTAGGCGATTTACGAGAAACTCAGACGTTGAGTGAAGATTTGCTGCTTTTTCTCTGCTTTGCATAAAAGTGACATGTTGTTGCCTCGATGCCCCTTAATACATTACATCATATAAAATCTATTGACTGACTTTAACTTGACTTTTTCATCTTTGATTCACCCTCCAGGTGGCGCTGTCTGTTGCTGCAGAGTTCTGGGAGCAGGGAGACCTGGAGAGGACAGTCCTGGAGCAACAACCCATTGTAAGAGCTCAGCGAGACTGGGGACCGAGGGACAGGGAGGAATGCGAGACAATAGGGCTGCTTTTCATTATGCTAACGCGTCTCCTGGCGACTCTCAATCGCATCTTAGCTCTTCCCAGCGAGGATGTGAGAGGTGTGATACACCTGTGTTGCCTCGCTCTGAGCTACTCGTCTCCTTGAGATGCATTCTAAGAACCAGAGGCTCCTGCAGAGGGGACGGTTTCTGGGTCACGGGAAGAGAGTGGACCCAAGGAAGCATAAGTTAGCATAATGAAAAGCTCTGAGGTTTAAAGGGGTGAATGGAGGCACCATCCATCCTGCTGAAGCCTCCTGGAGGAAAAATGCTGAAGTCCGTACATGTCCAATGGTGCTGCTGCTCTATTTATAGTTAACTACGACCTCTGACCCTCTGAAAATCAGTAAAAAATCCTCATCGCTCACCTCTAACCTCATTATCGTTGCTTATTTTACAAAAACCTGAGGCTTTGGTGGTTTTCTATTAAAGGCTCAACCCTGGTTTCTTTATTTAAAAAAAATAAATAAATTTTACTGTGGAAAAATATTATCTGGAAAAAAAAATAATGGTATAAAATAGGTCGAAATGTCATGAAACTTCCCAAATAGAAATCTTATACTTAAAATCCATCCATCCATTTTCTATACACCGCTTAAGCCTCACTAGGGTCACGGGGGGCTGGAGTCTATCCCTAGACCGGTCACCAGTCTATCACAGAGCTACACTTAGAGACAGACAACCAAGCACACTCACATTCACACCTACAGACAATGTAGAATCACCAATTAACCTCAACATGTTCTTGGACTGTGTGGGAGGAAGCTGGAGAACCCAGAGAGAACCCACACTGCACGAGGAGATATACTTCAAATGTCCACCATAATAAAAAAATAAAATAAAAAAATCTACATGTATAATACTGAAAGTGAAGTCAAATGCAAATGTGAAGCTCTTGGAAATGGCTTCCAAAATCACATTTTCACCTTAACAGGCTACACAAGACACAGGCAGGTTTTAACCTTATGTTTTCACTTTGGGCCTGACAGCTCAGACAGCTAACTAAGTGGGCCTTAGATTTCTTTGTTACATAAGATTTTAAAGCGTCTCCTGTGGCGACTCATGTTATTCATCATAAAGTTTGGAGAAGTTTAGGAATCAAAACTCTGGCGCTCATTGAATCTTAAATAAGTTAGACCCATCATGATTAAATCCAGCTTTATTGTTTTTTATGACTACAATCAGGTAAATGGCTTTCGACTTGCACAGCCCAAACTATCCCCACAGCGCTGCGTTACCACCAGAATGATCCGGCTGCACCTCATTGTCATTCTGCTACAGGGAAAAGGATGTTTCCTTCACTAATCACAGCTGTCTGTTTTCCGCAAAGCCCACAGCGATGCAGTAATGGTCATTCTGAAAAGAACAACAGGAAAACTGCTTAGGAGGAACGTTTTCACACATGCACACATAGGAGACTGTCCTTAACATGTGTAATTCACCTAAAGAACCACACAGGGTAGGGCTCTATTGTACAATCCATATTCTCAGCAAATAGTGTGGTGGGTTGCTGCTCAGAGGTTGTTGTCGTTTCCTCTAGTCAAGGGGATTCTGAAAACAGTGACACGTTTAGCGGTAAGTGGGGAGAAAGCTGCATGAAAAGCAAAGCAGACATGATATTTTATAGGCAACGTTTAAATCCAGAGAGTCAGACTTTTCTACTTAAAGATGCAAATTTAAATGCCCACAATCTGAAAAAGCTGTTACAGTACTGACCAGTCTGTTCAGTTCCTTTATCAAAATGTAAGTTCCCAAATGTTCTCCACACATTCCCACAGATTTTTTTTTAAAAGCTAAAGTTTGAGCGGAGGAGAAAGAGGACTTTGTGGATGAACAAGAATCACGGGAATTAAGGCAGGACTCCTTGGGGCTCCAATTTAGGATGGAGAGGAGGAAGGACGGGATGAGAAAGGAGAACAAGAGACAGAAACGCGGTTGGAAGATGAAATGAAAAGACAGATTTAGTTCCCTGTGGCGGCGTTGTTGAGCAATGTACAAGCCATTATGTGGAGCACTGATACAGAAAGAGCGGTCACTGTGGCCCTGACCCAGCCAGCCATACCCTCCCCGGCTCTGCCTAACTTTCTGCCTCCGTGTCTCTCTGCTCGCTCTGTTTCATTCCCTTGTGTCCTTGAGACACTTGAAGTGCGAGAAGCACCATCCCACACTCTCTCACCTCGCAGTGCTCTGAATTTAATAGCATATGTGTCAGCAGGGAAAACTTTTCATTTTGATCAGTTTGTATTTTCCCAGCAGTGGATTCTGTGAATCACTGTGGTCTGACAAGGCTGCGCCGAGGCTGCAACACTTGAGCAATTTTATCAGGAAACGTAGGTGAGCAATTTTGCCAGCAATTACAGCCAGCGTGAACTTCTTAAAAGATTTTATGGTCCAATGCTCACACTCGCATCTTTTTGGAAAGGTAATGTGGTGTCAAGTTTGAATATGGCTGCTAATATGAAGCTAATGGTTCATTCAACATTTATTTACTCTTGGAAAGGATGTAGTGAGGACTTAGATCCTCTTTTACAAACTTACAGAGTACAGGGTTGTTCTTCTTTTTTTATTTATTTTAACCAAATATATAACATTCAGTTGTACAACCAGGATGATTCTGCAGTTTTTCAGTCAGTGAGAAAGGAGCACTCTTCTTGTTTTTGATTATGCTATAGTTGATTCAGTAGATTTATGCTTATAAAAAAACAAACATGCTTAATTCAGTAAAATAGTCTCCACCATGAACACTCTACTTTACTTAAGGATTCAGCAGTGGCTTCAGCTTTTTTCAGGTTTGCCTCTTGCATGTTCACCAAAAACAGCTCTGGAAGATAAATAGGCCGGTAAATTCAGTATTAAAGGTTCTGACATTCAAGCACGTCAGACATGTAGACGACATCTTACTCTTTCCTTCATTTTCATTTACAATCAGAAAGGTTGTGCACGCAAGAGCCAAGAAAAAATACCGTTAGCCCACGCTACCACTGTCAGATACCTTCAGAGAGTTGTCGTTAACTTGTTCAATGCTATCCTCTATTCTGCTCTTGTGTCTTTTTCGCTCCACTCTGTGTGTTTCTGTTTTCACACATGGATGTGGAAACACACACACACACACACACACACACACACACACACACACACACAGTGGAGTGTAACAGACATATTAGAGAAGGAGAAGCACAAGAGAACACAAAAAGTTCAATGTTACACTTTCCGTTTCCGCAAGTATGCCGAGGGCTACATGATGTCAAATTGTCATCTCCCCAAGTTCACAAAAGTCTGCTCAGACTCCTCTGCAGATGCTCAAGTTTTGTGTCCATGCAGTGACTACACTACGAGTACAATATTGCACTGATCGGCAGTAGTGTGCATGTGTGGAATACGTAGATACAATCCACTGTGCATGTAAAGCAGTACAATCACAACCATGGCTCCATGGTGTCCACAGCTGTCCCTGTGCACATCTGCAAGGGAGTCTAACCGAGGCTTAAGGAGCTCTCACACTCTGCTGAAATGAAACAAGTGCACATAAATGAGGTAAAAACTGTGTTTTTGCTGTTACAGTGTGTTGTGAGGGGTCACTCTCTATCTGTTTGCATGGAAGGCCAAGAGTTTTAAAAAGGAAAGACTGACATGCACAAGCATGTGTGCATTGATTACACTAGATGATAACACACACAGGGAGTGTGACTGCTGAGGATGTCATTACTCAGCTGCATCTTTAGATAGCAGATAATTGTTGGCTGTTATGTTATGCTACATTTGGCATTTACATTTGACCTATGGCAAGTTTTGCTACGTCTCAGCACTCTCCTCTTCTCCATCTGTCTCTCCTCAACTGCCCTCAAATAAACCCTCAAATTAAAAAATACACTTAAAAGAAAAAAGAAAAATCTCCCTTAAAACACATCTGTGGCACAGTGGTAACAAACTATTACTGCTAAAGATACAAGTCATCATCAGATAACTCCAGCAGGACTTTTTGGTTACACAGAAACCTGTTTTGGTTGCAATACTTTACACCCGAAGGCAGGAAAACTGTATCTTTTGGTGGTTTTACTATAATTGGACGTTATACTAATCAGATTAAATGCAAGCTTTTAACATTTGGTTAAATGACCACAACAGGACATGTTTTTTTTAACACTCTTCTCTTTCTCTTTCAGCCTATGATGGACAGAAACAAAGCAGACGATCTGCCAAAGCTGCAGTGTGGTTTCATCGACTTTGTCTGCGCTTTTGTGTACAAGGTCAGACGTCACACCATTCAAACACCCACAACTGATTCCCTTTATGTACCGAAGCCTGACTGTAATAAACACCTGCGTCTTCCTCAGCTGTAGGGGAATTTACATGCAGACACGACGCTTGTTAATTATAATCTGGAGGCCACCTTTCAAGGGTGCCTGTCTTATTTGGAAATTGATGGCGTTTTAACTTGGTATCGACTTTTCAGCGGAGTAACTTTATTTCAAGACGTTACAGGTGTACAACTGCATTACCTTAATCAACTTTGCTCGTACCATCTGTGAATCCCGTGTTCGCGTTATACTTGTGTAATTTAATAAATGTTAACAAAGACGCATTGATTTAATGTGATCTTATTTGCGTCGACTCTTCCCCTTTCTCTCGTTCCCCAGGAGTTCAGCCGTTTTCACGTGGAGATCACCCCCATGCTGGATCGCCTACTGAACAACAGGAAGGAGTGGAACGCCCTGAAGGAGGTGCATGAAGCCAAACTGGCTGCACTCGAGGAAGCGAAGAAAGCCAAGGAGGAGGCAACTCAGCAAGCTGCAGCAGCCAGACAAGGTAGGAGGCTCTTAGACGTACCAACACACAAACACAACTGGATTACTTTTCTCATTTCATGTGAGATGTAAACGTGTCCAGAGCCTGTGCTGCTTGTGCACCAGCTTTAAATGAACATTTTATGCACCAGCTGAGAGACACAAAGGGAAGCAAACTGGTGTAGAAAACCCAACAAGTTCTTAATGCATTTTTTATGTGTTCACCTTGAATGATAAAATTAACTTCTGCCTTTTGTTTCCTTTTCTTTTGCAGCGAGTGCATCCCAGTCACAGTCAAAGACCTGTATTGTCAGCTAGAGATGCTTCAGTCCTGCCACCTTTCTTGCTACATGGTCGTCGTGTAGCACTGGGTCTTTCCTTTTTTTTTTTTTGGTGGGGATATTTGAGATCACACCAGAAAAAATCCAATTCACCTTGCTTTTTTTTTTCTGCTCTTCTTTCTTTCTGCGCTGCTTCTTCCTGTACGTACTTTAATAATGCATTTCTCATTAGCTGCATGGGCCTCATGGTGTGTTCAGGTATTTTTGGGGGGGGGAATCATCAACATGTAACATTTGTGAGTCAGTGAAAAAAAAAGTGTTGCATGCAAGAAACTCCTCGTAATCTAAACATGAAATCAGTAAAACCCCCGAAAGAAGCCTTGTCGATACACCAACAAGTCAATACGGCATCACAATGAAGTCTCTTTTAACTGATTATAATGCTGTTCTGGCATTCACTGAGTCCAGGCTGGTTTCATTTATTAGTTTATCCCTTTGAGAGTCAATCAGAAGGAAAAGGCTGCAACCCCGACTAATAACATTCCAAGTGTGTGAATCAAATGTCAACAACTACTTTGTATTATTTGCACGTCTGGTGACATTTACTGTGTTGACATGTTTGTTCCAGCTTGTTTGTCTACATGCCGTCAAATAGTCAGAATAATAGCTTTGTAATGCAAATGCAGATCAGAAGAAACTGAGAACCTTTTCTTGCAAAGCATATGCACGCTGCGAAATGCTTATGTATATTGTTGTCCAGTCCCTGGTCGGTTTCTGTTGCTGTGCAGCATTCATTTTGCTGTACATTAAATCTGAATCCATGATGCTGTTGGAGCCTTTGTAGCGTTACACCTTACCCATGTGATGTTTCATGGTAATGCTTGTAAATACCGGCGCAGAAAACTGGCAAAATCGTGTTTCTGTAAACTAATGGCTTATATTCGACACATGTAATGTTTTAATTTCACTGCAGTTATTGATGAAGAAATGTGAAATTGCTTCTGAGTCACTTTGCAGGGATTAGTAAAGAGTTATCGCTATTTTCATACTGAATAACACTGGTGTCTTGTGTTTTTGTTGGATTCTCGCTGTGTTTAATTTCCAAGGGAACCTGTTTGAAATAGTTTTGCACTCTTCAGCCGTGAGGATTTACGACCCAACAAGCACTTGACTGACAGCAGCTGGCGCGAGCTGGCCAAGTGTTGTTGTGCCAAAATTTATTTCTCCAAAAACAGGTATTCCTCTGGGTGTGCATCGATTTCATGCCAGGAAAAAAAGAAAGGCAAAATCCAAATATTTTCTTTCTAAACCCAAAATAGGGATGGCAAGAGTCATTGATCTTTATTCTCAATCAATAATCATCACATAAATAATTGTGATTAATATTTTTTTTCTGTTCATTTCATGCCTCCATTAGTTTTAGATTATTGCTGTAAGCACCTTAAATGTTTTTGGGTTTTTTTTGCTTCGAATCCAACAAATACTCTACTAAAGTGATTGGGCTTTTCTGTTTTATTTGACGTAACATCTCAGTGCACCCACCGCGGCGCAGTGCTGAGCAGCTGAACCAATGACGGTGACGTCAATAGAACCTCATAGAAATGCAAATATTAGACGTTGAGCACCTCAAAGTAACCCATTAAACCACAGCAGAAGAAAGGAATATAAACACTGGAACAGGGCCGGCCCTGACCAATTTGGTGCCCTAGGCAAGATTGTAGTTTGCTCCCCTAGCATCACAGTGAATTTCACTCCTAATTGTCCTCTACCGTTGTCTTCAGACGTTAGCGAAGACGGTTCGCTAACGTCTTAGCTGCTAACGTTAGCAGCTAACGTCTTTGCTGCTAACGTTAGCAGCTAAGACGCTAACGTAACGTCTTTGCTGCTAACGTCTTTGCTGCTAACGTCTTTGCTGCTAACGTTAGCAGCTAAGACGCTAACGTAACGTCTTTGCTCCGAACGTTAGCAGCTAAGACGCTAACGTTTTCGCTAACGTCTTCGCTGCTAACGTTAGCAGCTAAAACGCTAACGTAACGTCTTTGCTGCGAACGTTAGCAGCTAAGACGCTAATGTAATGTCTTTACTGCTAAATGTAGAGAAACTGCATCGGCGCTTGTTAATAAATACCTGCCTGAATACATGTCAGTTAGCCTGACAAGCTTGTGGCGCCCCCATGGATGTTGGCGCCCTTAGCATTTGCCTATACTGCCTATGCCTAGGGCCGGCTCTGCACTGGAAAATGATCTAGAAATAGTTGCTGAAATATTTGATTTCTTTCAGTTTCATCCAATTTTTGTATACAGGCGAATGAAAACAATTCTACCAATCGTACAATTGAATTGGGGTTAACTTGAATGATTGTGCCATCACCTTTTTAACATGCTCATTTTTTAATCTGCTGTAAGACATCATGAGTGAAACAAGCAGTCAACACCATGGCTGCAACGTACTGACAACAGTCTCTAAAACACAAACTGAATTCAGACTACAAGGCTTTTATTCGTACCATAGGGCAGTTTTATAGTGCTTGAGCTGAGTCACGGGTGAGCTGGTGTGCTCGGACTGCAGCAACTGAGGACGGGTGCATGGAGGGCGAGGCGGGGGCTTCACATTCGAGAAAGAGCAGCGGTGTAGAGATACATCCATGCCATTTTTTAGGCCAGATGGGATTATTTTCAAGGAAAAACTATTAAATATGGAATGGTTTTTAGGGGGCTGCAAGGTGGCGTAGCTGGTTAGCGCCGCTGCCTTGCAGCTAGAAGGTTGCCGGTGGGGGCACAAGGATCTTTCTGCGTGAAGTTCTCCCCGTGCAGCGTGGGTTCTCTCCGGGTTCTTCAGCTTCCTCCCACAAGTCCAAAAACATCCATCCATCCATCCATTATCTATACACCGCTTGATCCTCACTTGGGTCGCGGGGGGGCTGGAGTCCATCCCAGCTGACTTAGAGCGAAGCCAGGGGACACCCTGGACAGGTCAGCCCAAAAACATGTTCAAGTTAATTGGTCATTCTAAATGGCGACCTGTCCGGAGTGTCCCCTGCCTTCACCCTAAGTTGGCGGGGATAGGCTCCAGCCCCCCCGCCAATGACCCTAGTGAGGATTAAGCGGTGTATAGATAATGGATGGATTTTAGGGGTGTAATCAATGACCAGATGTTTGTTCTGCTGCACTGTACTTATTGACGAAATAGGATCTAAAGAGTTTACAGAGTTTAATTTGTTCAAAAGCAAAATGTTTTCAGATATCAAAGTTACAAGTAATGATTGCTGTTAAATTTTTAATTAATGCATTTAATGTGTTGTAATTGGGCCACGCTTTGTCTGTCTAAGTTACATGTCTGCAAAACTTTTGATCCATAGTTGTCTAAAACCAAAGTACTTGGTGTGTTTTGTCCTGTAAATTTCCAGTCCTGTGTTTGCCCACAGCAGCTCACCCTAAGATCAAAGGAAGGACAGACTCTCTGGGAAAGTATAGGGGAAAACAAATCCTGGTACCACTCACAACCCAAACCCAGCATAACATTTTGATGGTAAAAGCATTAACAATCAAACCAAACATGAGAAGAAAACAAAATCAAAATAAACAGCAAGTTTGAACTGATATCAAACTACAACGTTGGTGCTGTTTTCACATAGCAGATGCATATAGCAGTTTTCATTACAAAACCTTGTGTCACAGTTCTGTATGTGTAATGAGAAGCAAACATTATGTAAACTAGGAGTATGATAGTAAGTAGGGAACTGTGTGGATCAGCCTGCAGTGATAATGCAGGATTGCTGCAGGAAACATGCACAAAGTACAACTTACACAACAGCTGACAATGTGTAAATTTGTGCCAGCTGCACTATCCATTTGCATGTTTGTGTTTGTGTGTGCACACTATGGCTAATTCGCCCACCTAGAGCCATATATAATACTGTTACAAAACCCAACATGACGCCAGAGCAGGATAATGAAAACTGATTGCCATTGGAGGATCCACAGGGGGCAGGACATGAGCTAAATTCATCACCGCCCATCCCTCCCTTCCTCCCCCGCACGCTGTAGCTTTATAATAATAGCATGGATACATAATCCGAAGTGTGTCGTCACTTGTGCATGACGTAAGTCCCCGTGACGTCAGGGCGTGCTGGGAGCTCAAAGGATTGCCGTATACGGTGGTGGTGATCAGCGGAGCCTGTAAAGCTCGGCTCTGACGCAGGGGCAACCCGTGACTGCAGAGAGGCAGAGAGAGAGGGCAGGAGGAGCAGAGAGAGAGAGCAGCAGCTGCAGTACACCCAGTGAGTCTGCAGGAAGGGAGCTTTAGCCTCATTCTAGCAACATTCGGGGGCAGTCGTGACTGCAGAGCTGCCAGCCTGCAAGCCACAGCGGAGAGAGAGCGATGCAGGACTATTTATAGGATGTCTTTGCATGGGCTGGCTGCAGTTTCCAAGCAGAAGAAGTCACTTGACTAGTTCGCTCAGGCTCGCTTTGCTCAATAATGCATTCTCATCAGCATTTCATGATGCACGCTTATATGTATTTCTTTTTTCGTCTTACAATAACCTGCAGTTCTGACAGCAGATGCCCTGCGTTGAAGGTAGTGATGAGAGTGCAGGTGTCAGAGCCGCTGCAGCACCAGTCAGACAATAAGCAGACAGGTATAACCAGAGCTGCAGCGAATGGCCACTAATGAGCTCGTTTTTGCAATACTGAACTAGAATCCATTTTTTCCCCCATTTTTGCTTCCCCTTAGGTTGTTTTACGTTGTTTAACATCATTTTTTTCCAGCACAATGGGGCGACATCACATAGAAAGGTCAGACAAATTAAAGGAAAAACCCACCATAAAGTAATACTGTAATGTTTCAGAGGACTGTTGCATCCTTATCAGGGTCAAAGTGGACAAGAAACGCAGCCAACACATGTCAGCTGAAACCATAGTGTGTCACTCTCTTTGGATAATTGGTTTACCAGAGTCTTCAAACGTATTAGATGATAAATCCAAGCGTGGTCGCTGCCAAAGTCAAAGTGCCGCACCCCGGGCAGACCTCTCTTAAAATTACAGAGATGAAAGAACAAAAAGCACCAGAACGAACATCAGTCAAATGTGACAACACAGAGGGAACATGACAAACCAA